TGTATTTTTAAGCTTCTAAGAAGATTTTATAAACAATGGAGCCCAGAGAACAAAAAAAAAAGCCATAAAATGACTTGACAGTGTCCTTTTAAGTGAACATATGTGAGTTTTATGCACCCATATGTGTTCACATATGCCCTACATATGCACAGCCAGCTGCTAGCCAGCCAGATTGTTCGATGTGTATGTTTACTGTAAAACAAGCCGAAAGTGTTTGGTCTCTTTGTTAGAGAAACAGCTCATAATTTCAAGTATACAAACGTCAGTTGTTTCTCATTTCTTTTTCTTCCAAGCCAAATGAGCTGTTGATGCTCAATTTGGCAGGATCCTAACTAAGGCTGACTCTAGGCCCGCCACAGAAACTCAGCCCTGAAAGTTAGGGAGATTTTTACAAGAATAAGGAGCTTTTTTTCTAATGGCTCCCCAAACCATAGGAAGTTTCCTTAGAGCCTCAGCCAGTTCTTTCTGATTCAATATCCCGAAGGATAACCACTAACATAGTTGGATATTAATGGAGGGAGGTGGGGTATGAAATGGGGATATCAAGTCCTCCTATCTCTGGTCAAATACTTTTTCAAACCCTCTGTTACATAGAAGACCCAGGGGTATAGAGATTTTATTTGTGATAACAATTTCAGCTATGAGTCCTCAGTGTTTCTTCTCGTCTTTCATTTTTTATGATTGTGCTCTGCAGCATAAAATGATGAAGTTTAAATGAATTTTCAATTGAAAATGAATTGGTCCTTTGGACCGATTATACATCTGCTTTCACAATCACAATATTAAACCCAGTTATCACCAGTGGTATTCTCTGCTGCCTGAATTGCAGGAAGAAAAACATGTACGGAAGGCAACCAGAGCAGAAAACAGATTGAGCTTTGGAGTGGGAGAGTCTATGTCCAGTCCTGGCTCCACCATTCCTTGTCCATGTGACCTTAGGTGAGCAGCTTCACACTTGCAACTTTCGTTTCTTCGTCAGCTAGATGGAACTAGTAATGCCAATTTCCTAAACTTGTGAAAATGAAAGGAGACAGATAACCATGTACAAACCAAGCAGGCCAGGTTAGAAGGTGGCCCAGAGATAAAATGCAGAGCTCTGTGCACATGACCCTCATGGGGAGGTTCCCAAGGTTCCCATCCTCAGACCTCCCTGAGTATTCCAAACACATGCGTGCTTGTGACCTGGGCCTGACTGAAGCTGAGGGTGGATTGCAGTGTCAAGACCCTGTCAGAGGTCCTGTGTCTGTCTCTTCCTCTACCTCATTTCTCTTGTTTAAGGATGAAATAAGTGGGACCAGCAGTTGGCATAATGGCTATGTAGCTGGACTCCCATGTAGTCAACCACAGTTCAAGTCCTGGACCTGGTGGCTTAAACTCATGCCAGGTGCGTGTGCATGCATGCCCAAGATCCTGAGAGGAAAATAGAGAAGAAGGGATTGCGGCATGCCCAGCCTCCCTGCAGGGTGATTTCTAGCTTTCTGTCTCTCTGTCTTTCTGGCGAGCACACATGCCCTATAGCAAAAAACCTCTCCAAAAAAATAAAGAAAGAGTATGAAATAAGTAAATAAAATTGAAAAAAAGGGAAATTATGAACAATTCTAGAGATATAGCACACAATTAAGTTTCCTTCCTCTCTCTATTCTTACTTTTTGCAAGAGAGAGACAAGAGAAACAGAAAGATTACCTGGTCAAGGACATAATCCAGAAGTTTCCAATGCCAATAATGGAAGAAGAGGGAGATGCTGAATTAAACAGAAAAAAAAAAGTATTTAAAAATGTTTCCTTTTTATTTCACTGACAAGTGAATAAGTATGTATATACATATGTAAGACTACATCCATAAATGTATACTCATTTACTCAGTGCCCATTATGTGTCTAGAACAGTGCCTGGCATACAATAAGTATCCATCAATATTTCTTAAATGAATGAACACCAAGTCCTTAAGGCACCACCATTTCTTCCTAAGTCCACGGTTTCCTGAGGTTTATTTGACAGAGATGATTCCGTATTTCCAAGGTGGATGTCATAATAGGAAATATAGGTATCTGTTGTCATAGGCTTATGTCGTTCCTGAAAAACAACTACAAGTATCCCGGCCACCCTCCAGGTGCCAGCACAGGGCTCCTTCTGCATGGAATCATCTCTCATGCCCTCTCTCCTTTATGCCATTCAGCCTTCCTAAAGCTGTCCAGCATTTCCTCACAATTTAAAAACAAAATTTGTATTGCTGCAGGTGTCCATGTGTTTGGGGCAGAAATGAGCCACTGATGACAATTGTAAAGAAAGAGGGAACAGCTGTTTGCATCTGGATATGGGGTAAAAGAAAGAGAACAGCTGCTCACAGCTGTGGCAGACAAGAAAGTGAGCAAGTGAGCAGCTGCTGGTAATTGGGAATCTAGCAGGCCTGGGATCACTGAAATCCAGAGGGAGCAGGCAGCACTCCACTCGCTGCCGCCCTGCACCCTGCTCTTCATTAGATGCTGCTTGTCTTTCATTAGAGACATGCCCATGAGAACCACACGAGGAATCCCTGCAGGAATACCCAGCCCACTTTGTCCATATCCCTTTGGAAAAGCAATTCAAGAGAGGGAAAATGGCATAGACTTTTCCTCCATGAAGTTCATACTTATTTTACAATAAAAAAGGAGTCTATGGTTGGCAAGAAGAAGAATATTAACCAGCAATAGATCTATCACAAGATTGGGCAAAAATAATTCTTCTTCCTACAAGAGGTTATAGTCATTTTAATGTTGAACACTAAAAATCTGTAACAACTTAAGTATATTTTAATTTGGAAAAATATTTTTTAAACCCCAGTCAGTGGTTTCTATGTATATTAATTCTATGAAAGTGTATACATACACATATTTCCCTCTATGCTATTTCTATGTTTAATTAAAACCAAAAAAAAAAAGAGGAAGGCAGGTTTTAACTATGCATCTAGTAACAAAATATGTTTGGTTTATTTTTATGCTTCATACTGGCTCTTCTAGTCAGATGGGATTAAATTCGAGTGACATGGAAATATGTCAGCTCGTTTCTCATTTTGCTCAATGCCAAAGAAAAGCATCTCACCACACTCCAGTTTATAAAATTCTAACTCTTTAGTCTCTGAAAAACACAGTGCAAGAAAAGAAAAAGAAACTATCTCCAATGTTCTTTATTGTTGAATTATATGCCATTAAATGATCTTGAATAAATGTTTTTAAAAATATTTTTAAATTACACAGTAAACTACCAGTATTTATAAAAATGATACTTTAGGATTTTTTTATTTTATTTTATATATTCAATCAGTATACATCACTTAGCTTATAAAGTGAATTTACACAACATGAATACACTTCATGCCAGTCCAGTTGAAGATACACTTATCATCAACAGATAATAATCCATTTCCGCGCCCATAAGTGTCATGCCTCGCTATTTTTCTCCTTAATGTCTCTCCTCATACTTTCAAAATGATCATTTTGATAGCAACAAAGTGCTTGTGACGAGTTCACAAAGATCATGTACACATGAAAAGCAAATGTCTACCAAAATTAACAAGGCAAGAAGATAGGTATAAGATTATAATGTGTAAGAAATTAAAAGAAATATTTTTCCTCTACTCCTGGATAGTTTGTACACACCTTCACATGCACATATCAGAGAGAGAAAAAGCACCCTGTTACAGGGCCTGTTCATGCCACAGTCCTTGTTCCTCCACCCTCCATTTTGTTGGGATTCTGGACATGCGCATGTGCCTGGTATGTTACTACAGGGTCTAGAATTGGAACCCGATTTCATCACATAGGATCCAGATTCCCCGGCACAACACTTAACCACTGTGCTACAGGGCTGACCCTGAAGCACAAAGTGTTTAATAAAAGTAATCAAACTAGGATAGCAAAGAGGACATTTTTAATTGTGTCTCTTTCGCTCTTTTTCTCTTTATGCTGATAAATTATAAAAGTAAAAGAAATAATTAATAAACTACTATGACAATTACTAATAAGTTCATGAAACTGCAAGCTCCATAAGGAGAGGGTCCTTCCTTGTTGTTAATCATCTTTTATAATCAATGCCTGCCACTTGCCTAGGCACCAACAAATATCTGTTAAATAAATAAGTAAATGAAATGAGTGAATTATCTGCATTTTAAAACTTCTATTCTGGGAGGAAAAAAAAAATTAAACCATTCCTACAGAAGTATGACTAAGCAAGGACCTAAGCTATGCAAAGGATCATTCAAAATATTCCTGCAGATGTACACTCACAGCATTTTAAAACGTGCTCTACCGTGATGAGATATTTGGTCCAACCAGCTCTAATGAACCCCTGAATTCTGAAAGGGAATGGAAGAGAAATTAGCCAATCTCCCAATCTAAAATATGATTCTAAGATTTGGGTCAGGAAAAGAAGGAAAAGGATTAATTGCCAAAGTACCACACTACCTGGCTTTTAACTTTCCAACCAGCGTAGCCCAAGACAACGTTCTCAGGTGTTCTGTGCTCTAAGTGAGTAATTTACCTTAAAGCAAAACCGTTTGGCATTTCTCTTCACACAGAGTTCCCCTCTCAGGTCCTGGCTTTGTTCTCTTGTCATAGCACAGGAAGCAAGAAATGGATGAGCTTTAAGCAAATTGGTAAGAATGTGAGAAGACGTTCACCCTTAACTTTACTGCCCCATATTCCTGTGACAGTAGATTTAAAGTTTAAAGACTTGCACTGAAACCAAAGGCTGCCTCTATCAGCCTTAGCTACTAAACTGTGGCCTGGGGAAATTGTGATATACTCATCATTAGAATACAAACATTTCATACAAAGTCTGTTTTCCAGATAGTCTGAAACTTCCCCAAGCCCTGCTTGTAAATAAAGTGTAAATGTTCCATGTTAATATAAAGTGCGCCCGCATTCTGAGCATGGAGTAACTTTAGACCCTGACAAACTTGTATATTATCCAAAATATGTTTGCCGATTTTTCCCTCTTGCCTGTAAAGTAACGTTAAAAGAAATGTCTTGCTCTATAAATATCACTGTCAAGTATTTAAGCGACTTGCACTTCATCATCATCATCACCAAGACCATAAAGTGCCCTCTCTGTCCATGGCCAGAAGTATAATGTACACAGAAAATTCAGCAGATACTTGAATCACACGCAGAGAAGATCCAGCCACTAGGTTTTCACCAGCCTTCACCAAAGGATCCATGTCACCCAGTTATTTCCAGATATAATGTTTATATTATAAATAAGATAGTTAACTTTATGCATCAACTTGACTGGGCCATGAAGAATCCAGATATTTAGTCAAGTATTACTCTTAGTGTCTCTGTAAAGGTATTTTGGGGTGTTATTTACACAAAAATCAATAGAGTGAGTAAAGTAGATTGGCCTCTGTAATGTGAGTTGGCCTCTCCAATCTGTTGAAGGCATGAATAAAACAGAAAGTTAACTCACCCTTCTACAAGAGAAAAATCTTCCTGCCTAAAGGCCTTTCAATTGGGCCATTGGCTTTTATCCTGCCTCTGGACTCAAGCTGAAACATAGGTCTTCCTGAGTCTCATACCAGCCTGCCTTTGAACTAGAACTACACTATATGCTCTCCTCTTTCTCAAGCCTTTAGACTGGAAGCGGAATAAATGTTTCAGTTTTCTCTGCTCTCCAGCTTGTTGATTCACCCAGCCCTCACAATTTTGTGAGGCAATATCCTATCTTTTTTTTTCTTTCTTTCTTTTTTGTTTGTTTGTTCTTAAGTGTACTTCCTTTTTTTAAATTTTTTAATTTCATTTTTTTATACATTCAGTTACCTTTTTTAGCTTACAAAGTGAATATTTCACTATGTGAACATTTCTCCCTAGTCCAGTTGGTTAAACTATAAAATATCTTCAACAGATAATACTACATTTCTTTGTCCCATTAATGCTTTGCCTCTTTTCTATATATAAAAAAACTTTGTACACAACATACACACATAATCTATGGGTTCTATTTCTCTGGAGACCCTTGACTAATACAAGAAGTAATTCCACAAATAAGATTTGATTCACTTAAGTCATCCAGTAAATTCTTTCGTAATTACTTTCGGTAGTGCCAGCGATGAGCCAGAAGTGGGCTCCAGATTCCAGGTAGTAGGACAAGGCAAGGTAGAATAGTATTTAAAAGTGTCCAGTGAGGACAGAGTTGATCCCCTATGGATTAGATATTGAGAGTGAATGGAATCTCCCCCACTTGAGTATCCCTTCAGATCCTTTAATTCAGAGTCATGTGATGAAGAGAAGAGAGCTTAGATTTCAGTGACAGACTAAAATAATTGTGTTCTGCCTTTGCTCATTGTGTGATGTTGGGAGGAGTATTTCTAAAGCTCATGTCCTCACTTGAACACCAAGCACAATAATGCCCACACAGAGAACTGTGAGAATTAAATTATACAACATGCAATTATTTCTAGTCCACAATTAACTCTTGATAAGTATATTCTCATTTCCTTTTCTCCCATACTAAACAATAAATTCTGGAGAGGCAGTGACTGTTTTAAGCATCTTTATATTCTCATAGATCTTTTCTAACTGTAGATCTTTACGAATATTTACTGGGACCAGCAGTTAGCATAATGGGTATGTCGTTGGACTCCCATGTAGTTGACCATGGTTCGAGTCCTGGGCCCGGTGGCTTAAAACTCACGCCAGGCACGTGTGTATGCTTGCCCAAGATCCCAAGAAGAGAATGGAGAAGGGATTGCAGTATGGTCATCCCCCCTGGGGGGGTGATTTCTCGCTTTCTGTCTCTCTGTCTCCCTCTGTCTGTTTGGTAAGCACACGTGCCCTATAGCAAAAAATCACTCCAAAAAAAAAAAAAAAAGAATATTTGCTAAGCAAATAAAATCAGTAAATTTAGAGTGATCTCTTTTATTCTTAGCACAGAATTAATGACAACTGCATCCATAAATGCAGTTTAGCACCATGCCTTCTAAAGGCATTTTGTACAATTATGAATTAATTCTGGATGTCTTTATTTCTTAGGCTTCAGTTCAACATTCAAGTGTATACAGGTTTAGTGCCTAGAAGAACAATCAGGAGTGGAGATGTGGAGCTGGGAGTCCTTCAGACCTAACTTAGAGAACCGAAGGCACCTGTGTAGAGCAAAAGGGCAATAAGCCTCAGGTAGCATCCCGAGAGGTAGTGACATTGATGGCAATTCCCCAAGGGAGCATGAAAGAAAAAGAAAAACCAACAACTATGGTGTCACAGAAGCCAGGCAACATAGAAGTTTCAGAGAGGGCGTGGCCATTAATACCAGTTGTTTCTGAGTTCAGTAAGATACATAATGAAGAAGTAAAGCTAGAGGTCATGGTTGATCCCTGCTGAAGTCACCTTTAACTGGTCTCTCGCCTTCAGTCTACCCTTCAATCCATCTTCATTGTCAGAATCATTTATTCTGAAATCCCCTTCTTAAACCCTTCTGTGCTTCTCCACTTCTCACAAAATCTTAACCCCATAGTAGGGCAGCCATAGCCTTCCAGACTTACCTCATCCTTAGACTTTCGGCTCCTCCTCCCTGTCACAAATCCATCTTCTACCAAACATTTGTATACACTTCACCTTCCCTCATTCTGTCACCTCCTCGTCTTTCTCAAGACTTGCCTGAATGTCAGTTCCTTGCACATCTGCACTGGCACCCGAGAGTTAAACCCCTCCCCTTCTGTACACGGCAGCAGCTTGCGCACGTGTCAGAGAAGCTTGCTTGGCTGCACGTGCTCAACTTCTACAAATGGAGGCAGCGGTCTTGCCACTGTCACAGATCTCACTCCACTAACGTAATTTTAGTTTACTTCTTTTTCTCTCTTAGATATAAATTTGTTATGAAGAAAGCCCTGGCAGGGTCAGCCTATAGTGTAGCAGAACTCACACTGAGTACAAGTGCGTGTTTGCTCAAGATCTTGGGAGGAGAGTGAAGGAGAAGGGATTGTGGCATGGCCTTTCCCCCTGAGGGGTGATTTCTCCGTCTCTCTCTCTCTCTCTCTCTCTCTCTCTCCCTTTCTCCCTCTCCCTTCTCTCTCAAAAAAAAAAACCTCTAAAAAAAAAAAAAAAAAGAAAAAGAAAAAAGCCCTGGCCTCTAAAAAAAAAAAGAAAGAAAAAAGCCCTGGCCTCTTTCACCTTTATCCCCAATTTTAATACAAGTTTCTATTAAATGTTTGTCTCCTTGTAGACTATTATGATGACAAATAAACCATCACAGGTAACAAATAGAGCTTTAAAATGGGCTAACACTATATGGGGTTTGCATAGCCACACATAACTTAAGTGAGGATCCTATCACAAAGATTTTATTTTTTGTCATAGTTTCACTAAAAATTAGCAGGCAATGTTTTATCGGTCTTTCAACTTTCCAATCATCTGGAGATTCTCATTCACAGTTATTCAGGACCAAGTTTCATTTTGCCCCACTTTCATCTCTTGCTGATCTCTCTCGCTTAGTAATTCGATTACTTGTAGTATTCCCAGGAGACATTGCAAGAACAGAGCAAGAAAATGCACACTAATTAATTATAGAAGCAGTCATCAACTCCTGGTTCTGTAAATAGCTTAAAATGTGATTTAATAATTATCTATGATTGCCGTCTGTAAATTCAGATAACTGGAAATTATACGTATCTAGAGAATGAAATAAAATGTTTT